AAGTCTTGTATGAAATATCACACTGATTGCACCTCTGGTGTGAGTGAGGTTCATGAAATTTCTTCTGGTGCTGATGTTTGGCCTGAGGACAAGGATTCAGACAGGTCTAATGGAATGCAAGCTGATAATGTGGCTTGCAGAGGTACTTCAGAACCACTGGAGTGTCCCCTATGTGGGGTAGATGACAAGGCACCATCCGATCTTTCATTTCACTCAAGTCATGAATTATGCAGGGATGTTATAATTCAGCCGAAAGTTATGGAGGGAAAAGTAGAGCAAAGTAGGGATGAAAACATAGTACAAACTGTGGAAAATGAAGCAGAATCCGTTGACACAAAAACAAGAACATCTATTTCAGTGGAACCTGCGTCCCATGGTCAGGAGATCAGCTCAACTATTCATACAAGAAGCACTGGTGCAAGCTGTGAAAGTGATGAGCTGAAAGAACAGAATTCTAAGGACATAAATGCTTCTTTGGATAAAAGTATTGCTAAAACACATGAGCTACTTCTAAAATTTCCTTATCCAAGTGGTAAGGCTGGGATGTCCACAGTCAGATCAGGTAAGATATGATGCCTTGACTATTCTTTTAAAAAAAAAAATTGGAACACTCCTAATCTTTCTACTCTTTAATATTCAGAATTGTTTCATTTATTTACGGTGCATACTGCCGTTTTGTGTTGCATACCTTCTTTTTTTCTCTGTTAATTCTCTAGTTTCTTGAGATGATACAATGTGGTTTCTGTCATCTTTCTTTTATAAGGGAAAGGCAATCAGAAGGATACTCCTTGTTCCTTGCCTCATTTACATATTTTGTTATAGATTAAAAATAAACTTCCTTTTGGGTAGGGGGGGTTTATCATCTTGTTTCGTGAAAAGGATTTGATTCTGTAGAAAACAAAAAATAAGTTGATATTATATCTATCTTCTAAACAAGTCTAAATTATTATTGGTTTTGCAGAAAAGCGAAGACATAAACTAAGGCCGCAACATCCAACTTATCTTCCTTTCTTGGGCTTCCTTCGGTCCGTTTGTTTCAAGAAGAAAATATGCAAAGTAAGAGGACTAATCAAACGTGCATGAGGTTTTATTTCACTCTGACAGGCGTTTGCTGTCATTTACCATCCCTGAATCATTATGTTACAAGGGAAGATCAAGAAATCTCGTTTTAAAGTTTTGATCTGAAATGTAAATCCGTTTACCAATCAGTTGTATTGTACATATGGTCATATGGAAAACAGAGCCATACCTGAAAGGTGGAAAAATTTCTTTTTTGGTTCGTCCATATGTAACCTAGGTCTAACTTTCCCCAGTGCCACTACAAATCTCAACTTTCATGTTTTGTACAGTAAAACTCTCCTTTTGGTTCCTACTTTCATGTTTGGTGACTTTGATCAAATTAACCTTGGACAAATTAAGATACATACTGATCTGACCAATGACTAATGGGACTGGCAGTTTCACCTGGCTCACTACCTTTAATACACAAGCTCATGAAATCTGGTGAATATTGCAGTAGATATGTTTTAAGTTTGACCATTGACTGATAGTACCATGGTTCTGGAAATAAAAAGAAATATAGGTTAGGGAAAACTAGTGTTGGTTTTACTGTTTCGCAAATGTGCAAAGTTGCAGTAACAATCTGATTTATCTTTTTTCACTTAGCAGGCTTAGTAATTCTGCATTAATTTGATTCTTATTAGGTAGTTACATTCTTACCAAGTATTGTTGACTTTATTGTAAATGGAACAGAAACATTTGGCTGCATGTTTGCTCATGAAGTGTTCTGTCATGCTAACACTGAACGCTGAAATTAGGAGGATATTAAACTATTAGCTCAATCCTTTGATCAGCCTGCCATGGGTCTATCTGACACTTAATTCTTCACTGCCTGTGAAACATGATTTCATATATTCTTGTTGAAATAGATATTGTTGGCATTTGTTGCTAGATCCTTATTACAGGATGCTCTACACTAACAAATGTGTATAATCATCAATGTTGGTGTATGCATATGTACCTAAAAGAAAACCCATTTGAAAGTGTTTGCATGTCTAGCCTTGAAACACCTTACATATAGCAGCTCAATTGGAGCAGCTTCTTCCTTGCTTAACTGAAAATAAACCTGCATGTGACCACCATGTATGGCCATTATGTTATTCTTAGGCTTTGTAGGCTCTCTGAAGTAGCATTATGTTATTCCTACTCATCCTGATATCCTCTATACCTAACAATACTGAAGCAGTAAAAATGTTATGTTTTATAGTGATTGCCTTGAAATAATATGAAGCAATGGCTACTAAAACTGGATTCATCATATAATTTTTTTATACAAAATGTAATGTCATTTTAGTACCTGGCACGGTGGAGCCTGCAAATATAAATTTTTGTAAACAGACATTGTAGCATATGGTGCTCCCATGTTGCCATAGTATAGCAAATCAACTACAAGATGAACCAGCTATGCTGTTCTCAAATGCCTCTGGAAAGATTGAGTTGGATGTGCATATTTCTTGTTTTCTTTCATTTGTACTTAGTATTCTATGGATGTAGTTTAGGGATTAAACATGAACTACTAACAATTTTCTCTTTAAAGATAGACTGTATTGGAAGGGAAGATAAGTGCAGATAAAGTACAGTAAGCTCCGCTTGCATTGCTGTGGCTTTTCAAAAGCATTTGTTTCCTGATTTTGGATGCAGTAACAGTTAATAGCATTATTTTTGGAGGCCAAACAGCAATATCCTATTATAATGGTATAAGATTCCACTATAACTAGTTAGCTATTACAGCATAGCACATGAACCATGAAATGACCATGCTTCTATTTGATGTGAAAAGTTTCTAGAGACCATGGTCGTGATAAAAAGCCATAGCCATACCCCACCACACTTGCACCTGGAGGAAGATTTGGGGCAGGACCAAAATCTTTCCTCCATATGACACATCCCACCAGAACGCAAGGTCTTATCAGCCTCCATCTACGTGGCCTCCTTCAGCTAAAGCTTATTACATTTGAAATGGCTGGTTGGTTATTCTTAACTTCATTTCATTTGAATAGTGATTTGCAATTTTATATTAGGCATCCTATTGGAGTTAAATGAACTTCTCTGTACTTGAATACCAATTATTTCAATAGCTGTGTATCTATGTAGTCTGTCAATAAATTCTCCGTGCACATCAACTAAACAATCATTGCATCACCACTCATGCTATAGTGGTGTGACTATTCTTATAGTTGACCTAGTAGAAGAAAAGGAAAATCTATGAGAACTGCACGCTATCCTATCACTCCCACTTGTTTTCATTATCTTACATGAATGATTTGTTGATGTGTTGCTTGACAAAGAGGCATTGGCTTATGAAATACTTGTTTTTCTCTTTCTATGCAGTGAATTGTCAGTGGTTTAATGTGTGGTTGCTTTGGTATCTTGAAATCGATGCAGGTTGCATGTAAAAGGAAGTCGTAAGAATTGTGGTGTGCACAAGCAATTTGGCTCATGTCAAAGGATAATAGATCTATGGTGCCCTTTGACTTTATCTTGTCGGTTGGCTAAGGCCACTTCAAGTCGTCAGGGCATATGGCTATGTCAACGTGACACGCAATTCTTGAGTGGGCTACTGTAGGGATTCACGAGAAGCTGCGGCCACAATAGGAGCAGGGAGTGCTGGGATTGGTGCAAGGACACTCCAGTGATGTTACCAACCAAATTGCCAACTGAAAACAGCGTCCTGGGTCAATAGCAGGAAACTTGTGCCCAATAGTTGCTCGAAACAAAACTGATTCTTGCGGGGCTCAGCCTTGCTGTAGGCTGCATTATTCAAATGCGGTATCATACCATTTCTTCCTTCCCCACCAAAAATCTTGCGAGATGTCACTTCTGATTTTGGAAGCTCATCATATGAGCCAGTGCGGTGGACTTTGTAGGGACAAAGTCTTTTCAAGTGATGCTTTTGCGTTTAATTGCGATCATCATTTGGTGAGTTTCCTTTGCAATGACCTTTGTTTCTCGAAACCTGGGTGTAAATGAACTAACTGCATGGAAAATCTTGGGAGATGTCACTTCTGATTTTGGAAGCTCATCATATGAGTCCCAGTGCGGTGGACTTTGTAGGGACCCAAGTCTTTTCGAGGATGCTTTTGCATTGAATTGTGACCATCATTCGGTGAGCTTCCTTTGCAATGATCTTTGTTTCTCCAAATCTGGATGTAAATGAACTAACTGCATGTGTTGCTTACCTTTGCATATGTGTCCATGCATCACATTACTCTGACTAGGGAATGATGGGGGATGCTAGAATCAGGCAAATATTTTGCATGTTGATCCCCTCCCCAGAACCTGGGCCCATACATGGAGTGGTAGTGGTAGGTCCTTTCCCTTAGTTGCGGTGTGGTCAACTGCAAGTTGAGCATGTGTCTGTCCTGGTGTAACAGCAGCACAGGGCATATGGGATGGGAGTATCATTTTAAGGATATCAGTGGAACCGAAAAGGTATAGGCGATATCTCCAACTTACTCATGTCTCCTTGAAAAATAGAAATTTAGATAGAATCATGAGCACTATTTTCCTTAATCATTTTCGATTTCCAGCGTTGGTGTTGCTCATGTGCTGTGCTCACAATCTATTGAGATTCTCATTGTCAGAACGTACACATGCATTGGTTTTGGTGCTAGCTGCATTGATCCAATTCCTTGGCGCATAACATGGAGAATTCCTGCCTGCATTGTGGTTGTGCAGTGCACGCCCAAAATTCAGTAAAGCTGCTGCTGCGCCTGTATACGCACCAGCTTACTTTTGTTAGGTTGTGGCAGCTAGCCGTGGATGCAGCACTAGCACCTGTGCATGGCTCATTGTGTATGTATGTATGTTGGTCTCCATCTCCTCCTGTTGCATGTGTTTGTTCAAGTCTATAAAACCCAAGAGGGCCTGCCTGCCTGTCAGCTGTCACCACATACTACCGATCGAGATACATACATTAGCAGCACCCATAGGCCACAGCCATGTATCAGCAACACCATCACTGGGCAAATTCCACATGTTATTGCGTTGATGGTGAGCTCAAAGCTGGTGATGCGATCCTTTCCTCTCGGCCAGACGCCTTGCTTGCCGATGGAGGAGCATTCCTGCCTTCTCCATTGCTGCCGACGCCGTCGAGCTACATGCCTCATCACTATTCGCAGCAGGCCCCTGCCATTGTTCCTCCACCCATGGACAGCCGGCTGCACGCCATCACCCACTTGTCCCAGGCGTCGTCGTCAGACATGGCTGCAGCAACGTCCTCGTCGACGTTTCGCCGGGCGTTGAGCACGGGAGACCTCATCGTCCGGGACCGGGAGGAGGAGCAAAGGGTGCCGGTGGCGGCAAGGTACAGCGCGGAGGAGCGGCGGAGCGCATCGACAAGTACCGGAGCAAGCGCAACCAACGCAACTTCCAAAGAAGATCACGGTCTGCCTGCTGCAACATATATATTGGTTTGGTTGGTTTCAGCTAGCTATAGCTGCTTCCTCTAACATACGCAAATGAATGGCGGCGCATGCAGTACGCGTGCAGGAAGACGCTCGCAGACAGTCGTCCCCGGGTGAAGGGCCGCTTCGCGCGCAACGGCGGCGACTACACAGAGACGGAGGCGGATGCAGTTGCAGACCACCATGTTCATGTCCCAGCAGCAGCACATCAGTCAGAGTCAGAGTCAGACTCGCCGGCGGCAACAGCAGCAGCGCCGGAGTGGTGGCCGGCAGTGCAGGAGGAGGGCATCAACCTAGCAGAGCTCTGTGCCGACGACGACGAGATGATGGCCGCCTACCTTGGAGTCTCCTCCATCAGTATAGCTGATCATCACTACAGCTGCCACCCATAGATAGATAGATGCATCATGCATGAGTAGAAATGCTGCTCGCTTTAATTTATATTTTATATATTGCTTTTTCCCTTGTGCTAGTTAACTTCATATACATCTCTGCACGGGATTTTCTTTTACTAGAAAGAAATTTGATATTGCCTTTCGCTTTATTTTATATATAACTTTTCTTTTATATATTGCCTCTGCTCGTTGTTTATTTCCTGATCAATCGTATCCATGAGTGTGATGCACACAAGACAACATTTGTGTACTAGTCTTGTACATACATGATTTAAGAGCTTTGTTACTGTACTTGGGAGGAACCAGCGGTTCCTCCCTAAAAAAATATTGCCAGCAGTTAATTGTACTTAAGGTTACTTTAGTACTTTTAGCCAGTCATTAACTCTAATTGACGTTCCTTTTTCTTTAGCGCATGAAATTCACGATCTCAAGACCACGCCGCCGCCGCCGTCCGCGTCGCCGGCGCTCGCCTCCCTGAGTCGTAGTTGCTCCCACATGCTGTTCGACTTTAAACTGTTGAAATATCTGGTTCCCAATCCATGTATTGCTGGTATATCTTCCGGTGTGGTGTACACGTGATTTGCTCATCAAGTCAGAAGGTTGTTGCGGCTCCTTAGGTTAGACTCTAGTTTGTTGTAGTCTTGTATTGTAAGTCAGTAGAGAGAGAGATAAGATGTATCTACTTGTTGTACAAGATGTAAGCCACGCCAGGGGCTTTTCCTAGCTCTATTTAACACGGAGCCATGACCTGAGAAGGATCAGGTTACAACCATTTTCACATAAACCTGCCACAGACATGCCGGCCGCCGCAAGGCGAACCTGAGGGCTCGGTACTTTTGACTATCAAAGCCAAAGCGCATGGAGTGGTGGGGCTCCTGGGAGGAGGCCGCCGATGTGATGGGGATCACCATGGATGGCGGCATGGCGCAGACCGGGCTGTGACTGACAAAATGAACCACCTGCACCCAACCATCCTGGAGAGGCAGCGATCTCAATTGCAAGGCAGATTACGGTCAATCCCAACTCAGCAAATCGAGGTTCTTTTTTTTTTTAAACGGAACCGGCAGGAGAGCTGCCTATTGTATTAAAAAGAAGGGAGCCTAGAAAGGCACTGTATAAACATATACAATTGTGTACAAAAGAGCAAAAAGCCCGACACGCCCCACCTCAAATGGCCTCAAATCACACGCGCAATAATAAATTGGAGATATGCTTTGCTCCCGCCATTGCCCACAAGCCAGCCTCTTCCTTGATCTTCTGGAGGAGATGCATTGGTGCGGATTCTTTGCGCTCAAAGATTCTTGCATTTCTTTCATTCCACACCTCCCAACAAACAAGAATGATAATGGAGCGTAATCCTCGCCTCGCCGTCGAAGGTGTTCGATCTAAGTTTTCTCACCAAGTTTGTACGGAGTCTCCTAGCACCCACGCGGAAGGTCGGAGGTGTTCGTTGCCTAGCCATATTGCAATGCCCTCCCAAATACGCTTAGTGTAACGACAGTTTTGAAAGAAATGGACTCCAGATTCTTCTGTGTCTACAAAGAGGACACACACCATTATTTGGCCATGCTCGCGCTTGTAGTCCTATCGGAGGTCCAGATTTTGTTTTGGATGGCGAGCCACCCAAAGAACTAGCATTTTGGTGGCGCCCAGACTTTCCAAATCAGTCGTTTGAAATTGGTCGTCGTTGATCCTATGAATTGCGCGTGGTAGGCCGATCCTGTTGTAAATTTTCCATCTGGCATGAAATTCCAAATGATGTTGTCTTCCCTATCTAATTGGAGGTGAAAGTGGTTTAGGGCGTGCCAACGCTGGACATACTCCACAAAGTGTTGGGAAGTGAAACCTGCATGCCGCAAGTCTATGTCCCTAATCCAGGCTCTGTTGTGCAAAGCTTCGTTGAGTGACTTGTTTTTATTTTTTGAAATTTGGAACATATTTGGCGCTAGATCTTGGGGCCTTTGACCTTGGAGCCACGCGCTGCTCCAGAAGGATGTTCTCCTACCGTCGCCAACTGTGATTGATGTTGCCGCAGCGAATAGGAGCCTATCAGTCGTGTCACATGGTGTGTCTGAGTTGGTTAGCGGCCTTCTTTCTCCCTCCCATTCTTTCCACAGCCATCTGAGACGTAGTGCTCTTGCAAATTTTTCAAGATGTAGAATGCCGAGACCTCCAGATTCAGTTGGTCTTGTGGACCGTGGCCAATTCACTTTGCATTTCCTCCCAGTTAGCTTCACGGATCCAGCCCAGAGGAAACTCTTTCTAAGGTTATCAATTTCCTTCAGTGTGGCTTTAGGAGCTCTTAGGGATGTGAGGCAATACACAGCTTGGGAGGTGAGTACTGTTTTGACTAAGGTGGACCTTCCTGCATGGTTAATATTCTTGCCATTCCAAACAGTGAGCTTGCTCACGGCCTTGTCAATGAGAGGCTAGAAATCGATCCTTCGCAATCTGGTGCTTGCTGGCAAGGCATTTGATGGTATCACCTCCTCGTAGTTCCACATGAGCCCGTGGCGATGAAGTCATACGCGTCCAGCAGCACGGGCCGGTGCCCAGGCCACGGCGGAAGTCATGTACGCGCCGACGACACTGACGGTAATCAAGATGGAGAATCACAATTACTATTATGTCCTTCCTATTAAATTAGGAACAGGTTCTGGGCCCACTTATTTCAGGTTCCGGTCCGCCACTTAAGTTCCGTCTAATTGATTCTTCCTATTTTAAAACCATTAGATCTTGCTAGATGAAGGGCTCTTATTATTTCCAAGTACTGTAAAATTTCACTTAAACATAAAATTGCCTGCATCAGCAGTTTATTTCCTTCTCAATGACTTTTGTTGTTTTATATCTTTTACATGTTTCATTTTTCATTTAACAAAATATGTATGTGACCTTGTTGGTACTGTGAATACACAAATCCAAAAGTTATATTTTTCTCTAGAATGATATGTTACATCTCAATCTCCATTATGAGAAGAAAAAAGATTTTATTTTTTCTACAAGTTTTCATAAGAGAAGAAGAATATAGCTAAGTAAAGATCCACTTTTTTTTAGTGAAAACCAGGTCCAAAAGAATACACACACCTGCACAACCATTGCCTGCCTACACTAGATAACAACTTCCTGTCCCTAGCCAAGCCACACCCAACATAGACGCACATAGCCATCGCTTAGCCTACCATGCCACAACGAAGCGTAGCATTGAACGATAGTCAAAACAACCCTATGTAGTGCCACCATAGTCGCACCACCCCTACGCGGCATGCGACCGACACGTTATGACTTACGTCACTCGTTGTTGACCTAGCAGCAAGTCAACCACACACATATACAAATGTAGTGTCACCGCCTACCACATAAGTCGGGAGTGAGGTCTCTCTACCCATTACGGTATAGCCTATCTTCTCACTTATTTTTTTTTTTACCTGTGGAATGGATGAGTTGATCTAGCACTAACTTATTTGACACAAGCTAATAATTAGTATAGGTACAAGAAATGAGGTCATTTCACTGAATTTGAGAGATGATCATGCTTCACATCACCTAGATTTCCTTTCCTCAAACCAAACATCCTAATAGATTATGCATGTCTTTTTCATCAACTGTTAAGGTCCAACAGAGTGCATGAAAATAATAATAAAAAAGAACGTGAGATTTTAATTCATGGAGATGCATAAGAGGAAACACGTTAGAGGAGACAAGAACACCAGTTATCATATATAACACGATCTAGCTAGTATATTTGTCGGCGGATTGGCAAATGTGCTCTAGTATCTATATATACAGTGTATTTGCTATTATAAGTATATCATAGCCGGAGCTTGCATTCACATGTTTCTCTCACCCAATGATCGATACGATATATACTTGTAGTAGTTTCTTCTAGGTATAGGTAGCTCTCCGGTCGAGGGGGGAGAGATGGATCGATTACAATATAATCCCATTGGATTTTCTTTCTTGTCTTCTTTCTTTGTAATTTGCATAGTTAATTTCTCCCAAGAATGCAGTAGCAGGTCTCACATGCATGATATGATGCTAGGCTACTGGCTAGCGTATCGACACAAGTCTCATCACTACTAGAGTTCAGGGTGTTAACAACCATATATATATATGTTAGCCACCACCAACTGCATGTGGTGGTTGTTCGACTTATCCAGTTATTATTAGTGTCTCCTAAGTTTAACTCCAGAGGAAGGTAACTATGCAATCTCTGTTGAAATCAAGAGTGGAAAAATGGAAACAAGGCTGGCTACGTATCAGTGCTTGATTCACTCTGGATCTTATCAAACGACGACATTTTTTTTTTAGTATTATCATATATTGGAGTGGAGCACTTCTACTCCGGTCCTCATGTATGATTCCATTCACTAGTGGCACAGCCTGCTAGTATCAGTCATACATTGGATGAATCTGAAGAACACATACATACACCTAACATCTTGAACAAAATATGCATACAAACAGAGAGAGACCTTTACCATTAACTCCTCTCAACCTTCTTGATCAATATTACTTGACCAAACCTAGCAGGCTCCAGAAAGCATTGGTCCTCCAACTGCAGATTTTAATGGTTCAATTCCAAGACACCGCCCCACCTGAAACTTTGTCTATACAGCAATGATGCCCCTAGCTTATCGCGGCAAGAGGGGCTCTCTGTGTTTCGGGTGTCGTCGACCCTGCCAACTGCTGCTTCCCGTTTCCATTTACAGCAAGCTTCGTCGGTGTTCTGCTGTCCCACAATGCTTTCACGAGATCTTCAAGGGGGGTTACCAACTCCCTGATCGATTGGCTGCCCGGAATGTTGATCTCACGCCTTCTCGGTGTTGAACAAGTTGCTTCATCCACCTGGCCCATAAAACACAGATTTCGATATTAGAAAAACAAACAACTATATATATGTGCATATATATATGCCCAGCAGACTAATATTGCTAACCTTATAATCATCTCCCAGAGATCTATCGGCATTCGCTGTTATTACTTTTGTCTTCTCATAG